TCTTATTAAACAGTTATTTTAACATGAGGCACCAAATTATGTTAAAGGTTCAAGGCAAGCAGAAGACAAATTAGAAGGGGTTTTAAAACAAGACAGGTCTGGGTTTGTGCCTTGGCTCTGCCCTGATTAGAGTAATGTGAAACTGAGCATGCTTGTTTCTGTTTTTTGGAGACAGTGTCTCACTCTGTTGCTCTGGTGCAGGGCAGTGGTGTGATCTTGGCTCACTGCAACTCCCACCTTCTGGGCCCAAGTGATCCTCCCACCTCAGACTCCAGTATCCAGGATCACAGGTGTGCACTTCCACACCCAGCTAATTTTTAAATTTTTTGTAGAGATGGGGTCTTCCTATGTTGCCCAGCTGGTCTTGAGCTCAAGCGATCCCCCCACCTCAGCCTCTCAAAGTGCTGGGGTAACAGGTGTGAGCCGGTGCACCTGGCCGGAGCATGTTTCTTATCTTAGTTTCATCATTGTGAAAGAGGGTATTTAATATCACTTTTTCCATAGGGTTATTGGAAAGATTAGATGAGGTAATGCATTCAAAATGCTTACCACATTACCTGGCACATAATAAAACAGTGGTTAATATTATTAGGGAAACATTTAATACATTTATAAAAGAATACATTGCGAGCCCCATAGGAGCAGATGCTAGGTCTGTCTTGTTCACTGATGTATGTCCAGTACCAAACCCATCACTCAGTAAGTAATGAGTGTTTGTTGAATGAATGGATGAAAAAAATAAACATCTCATGAAATGTCATATGAGTCTAGAAAAATGTCTGCATTGTGGGCCAGGAATGGTGGCTCGCACCTGTAATCCCAGCACTTCAGGAGGCCGAGACGGGCAGATCACGAGGTCAGGAGTTCGAGATCAGCCTGGCCAGCATGGTGAAACCTCATCTCTACTAAAAATACAAAAATGAGCTGGGCGTGGTGGCGTGTGCCTGTAGTACCAGCTACCTGGGAGGCTGAGGCAGGAGAATCGCTTGACCTGGGGAGGCAGAGGTTGTAGTGAGCTGAGATCGCGCCACTACACTCCAGCCTGGGTGGCAGAGCAAGACTCTGTCCCAGAAAAAGAAAAGAAAAAGAAAAAGAAAAACGTCTACATTGTGCCAAATAAAAGTAAAATTCCTATTACCAGAGAGAAGAGATCCTGACTTGTTTTAGACTAAACACAAATGAAGTATAATATTTATTTCTGAAATATTTACTAAATACTATGTGAGATAAACATTTACTTGTAATTTCTACTTAGTGTCTATATATATATATATATATATATATATATATATATTTTTTTTTTTTTTTTTTTTGAGACGGAGTCTCGCTCTGTCACCCAGGCTGGAGTACAGTAGCGTGATCTCAGTTCACTGCAGCCTCCGCCTCCTGGGTTCAAGCGATTCTCCTGCCTCAGCCTCCTGAGTAACTGGGATTATAGGTGAGTGCCATCACGCCTGGCTAATTTTTGTATTTTTTTTTGGTAGAGATGGCATTTCACTATGTTGGTCAGACAGGTCTTGAACTCCTGACCTCGTGATCCACCCACCTCGGCCTCCCAAAGTGCTGGGATTACAGGCATGATCTTCTTTTTTTTTTGGAGACAGAGTCTTGCTCTGTCACCCCTGCTGGAGTGCAATGACATAATCTTGGCTCATTGCAACCTCCGCCTCTGGAGTTTAAGTTATTCCCATGCCTCAGCCTCCTGAGTAGCTGGAATTACAGGTGTACACCACCACACTGGGCTAATTTTTGTCTTTTTAATAGAGATGGGGTTTTGCCATGTCGGCTAGGCTGGTCTTGAACTCCTGACCTCAAGTGATATACCTGCCTTGGCCTCCCAAAGTGCTGGGATTTTGGGTGTGAGTCATCACACACGGCCAGTTTTCTTATCTTTTATACAAGGATCATAGCTGCTATCTATGGTCTTTGTGAAGACAAACTGATTTATATCTAAAGTCTAACATAGGCTGGGCATGGTGGCTCATGCCTGTAATCCCAGCACTTTGGGAGGCCGAGGCAAGAGGAGTGCTTGAGACTGGGAGTTCAAGACCCCTGTCTCTAACACACCAACAACAAAAACCCCAGCAACAATGAAAGTCTAACACAGGGTTAGCTCAATACAAAATAACGATTATAGCGACACCATGCCCAGTGTTTTTTTTTCCTGAGACAGGGTCTTACTCCACCACCCAGGCTGGAGTGCAGTGGTACAATCACAGCTCACTGCGGCCTTGACCTCCTGGGCTTAGGTGATCCTCCCACCTCAGCCTCGCAACTAGCTGCGATTACAGGGATGTGTTACCATGCCAGACTAAGTTCTTGTATTTTTAGTAAAAATGGGTTTTGCCATGTCGCCCAGGCTGGTCCTGAACTCCTGGGCTCAAGTGATCCGCCTGCCTCAGCCTCCCAAAGTGCTGGGATTACAGGTGTGAGCCACTGTGGTTGTTTTTTTTTATTTTTATTTTTTTTCCCAAGGAACTTGCTCTGTCACCCAGGCTGGAATGCAGTGGCAATGATTATAGCTCATCACAGCCTTGAACTCCTGGGCTCAAGTGATCCTCCTGCCTCAGCCTTCCAGTAGCTGGGACTACAGGTGTGCACCAAATGAAGTCTCACTCCGTCACTCAGGCTGCGGTGCAGTGGTGTGCACCGCACACTGCAACATCCACCTCCCAGGTTCAAGCAATTCTCCTGCCTCAGCCTCCCGAGTAGCTGGGATTACAGGCATGCACCACAAAGCCTGGCTATTTTTTGTATTTTTAGTAGAGATGGGGTTTTGCCATGTTGGCCAGGCTGGTTTCAAACTCCTGAACTCAAGTGATCCACTCACCTCAGCCTCCCAAAGTACTGGGATTATAGGTGTGAGCCACCACACTCAGCCAATTTATTTTTGTAGAGATGAGGGTCTTGCTATGTTGCTCAGGCTGGTCTCAAACTCCTGATCTCGAGCTATCTGACTGGCTTGGCCTCCCAGACTGCTGGGATTACAGCTGTGAGCCACCCACCTGGCTCTTACAGCTTTCTTTAAGGCACTTAGCAATATGTATCAAAAGCTACACTAATGTGCATTCTTTCACTCAGAAAATTCAGTTCTGGCCAAAAAAAAAAAAAAAAAAAAAAAAATCGAGACAGAAACGAAAGCAAAAAAGTAACAATGTTTACATAGTATTGCTCTTAATAATGGTAGAAAACTTGAAAATGAAAGCGAAAACATAATGTTCACAACAGTGTTGCTCTTTATAATGGTAGAAAACTGGAAACAGCCTACATGTTAAAAACTAGAGGACTGAGGCCGGGCGCGGTGGCTCACGCCTGTAATCCCAGCACTTTGGGAGGCCGAGGCGGGCGGATCACAAGGTCAGGAGATCGAGACCATGGTGAAACCCCGTCTCTACTAAAAATACAAAAAATTAGCCGGGCGCGGTTGTGGGCGCCTGTAGTCCCAGCTACTCGGGAGGCTGAGGCAGGAGAATGGCGTGAACCCGGGAGGCGGAGCTTGCAGTGAGCCGAGATCGCGCCACTGCACTCCAGCCTGGGCGACAGAGCGACACTCCGTCTCAAAAAAAAAAAAACACAAAAACTAGAGGACTGAGTAAATAAAATACAGTAGGTTATTCCTGTGGAACACCACACAGCTACTGGGCGTCATGTTGGAAAAGGACAGTCAATCAAATGGAAATTGCTCATGTTTTGTTAATTAAAAAGCAAGTCTGTGTCTTTGTTCTTAAAATAATTAAGGAGCTTTTTCTTTTTATATAAAACAGTTGAGTTTGTAATTGATAATGTAAATAATTAGCATCATTCTAATTTCATGAGTATTTGATCTACAATAATATATTAGCTGATCACAAAGCAATTCAGAACTAAATTATGGTTACTTAATCAGTAAACTGTTCTGTGTGATAATTTGGACCCACATTTAAGTTAAACCCCAAAGACAGCAATGGGTGGTAAGAAATTTCTGGTGGACAATGTCATCAAATGAAAACTCTGCAGGGGAGCACAGGTCATATCCTGGAATGGTGGAAGGCACCTCTTAAAAGAATATGGAGTCTCTATGGAAAGGGAGATTAAATAAGATCACATATATACAGAGTTTACCATATAGTAGGTATTTTGGTGGCTAGAAAGCATTTATTAAAATGTAAAACAAACAAACAAACAAAAAAACGTTGCTAGAATGAGTCCTGATAAGTTAACAGGTGAAATTTACATACACATGACAGCATTTCCTATATCGGGGTGAATAGTGTTCAGTTTGCAGTTGGAAGTGTCACTGCTTCCTCCTCACGGGGAAATTCTGGTATCTCCTTCAATTGTTTTGTGGATTTCATTACAGAGGGTGGGCAAAGAGGCTCATACAAGGGGCAGCAGAGGCAGGTGGACTCCACTGGTGAGTTCAGTACCAGCTGAGTACTAACTCAGTAGTGGGCCACTCCCTCTTGGAAAAGAAATTTCTCATTGCTCTATGAGGCCTTCAGGAGGCCCTGAAGGATAAGAAGGATGGGAGGTGGTGGGTGGGAAGGCTCTGGTCTCCATCTCCATTTCTAGCTGATTGACACTGTACTTCTGTGTAAGTCTGGTGTGAAGAAAAAGTTTTGGCACTTAAAAACATGTTTGGGCCCAGGTGCGGAGGCTCACGCTTGTAGTCCCAGCACTTTGGGAGGCCGAGGTGGGCAGATCACTTGAGGTCAGAAGTTCGAGACCAGTCTGGCCAACATGGTGAAATCCTGTCTCTACTAATAATACAAAAATTAGCTGAGTGTGGTGGTGGGCCCCTGTAATCCCAGCTATTCGGGAGGCTGAAGCAGGACAATTGCTTGAACCCAGGAGGCGGAGGTTGCAGTGAGCTGAGGTCACTCTACTGCATTCCAGCCTTGGCAATGGAGTGAGTCTCCATCTCAAAAAAAACCCCAAAAAACCATGTTTGGAAGCCAGTCATTAAATTTGAGGAGAGGGAAAATGGGGAAACAGCTGACACAACTGAGAGGCAAGAAAAAAAGAATAAAGTCAACCTTTTTTGAGACTGCCCTTTATTTGTTCTCTACTGTCTTCTACAGCCCTGAGTCTTCACTTGCTCTTTGCTCATGGTGCAGCGTCAGCCAGGAATTCACTAGACAAGTCAGCAGAGTCACCAGATGCCAGACATGCAGTAAGGAGCAGAGGTTTGAGTAAGACTGCATCTCTGCTCTTGGGAAGGCATGGGAGAAATACATCAACATGCGGTGGCACAGCCCGGTTCACATCCCACAACAAAATGGAAAGCCCTCTGCCGTCTTTTATACTCATTCTAAAACCTAAGTCCTACTACTCTTCCGTGTGGCTTCTCCAGCCTTTCAGCCCCTGTGGTGTTTACTCACTGACTGAACGACCTCCGCAGCCTCTGGACTTCTGTAGTGTCCAGTCACACTGTACACAGCCTAAGACAGTGTCTGGAAGACACTGTGCTCACTCAGCACTTGGAATGATTCTCAGGTATGTTTTTTATATTCTATTTAAATTATAAACAGGAGGGCAAAGACCATCATATTTCTGTCTCTACTTTTAGTACTTACTGAAGGCATTCAATAAATATTTGACTGGAAAAAAAGGAGTGGTACTGGAAAAAAAAAAGAAGTTGGTGAAAAGAATAGGAGAAGAGTTTCAAAATGCACTAAAAAGTAGAGAACAAAAAATTACTATAAGATGTGAACGAAAAAAACCCTGTAATGTGATATGGGATGTATTTAACGGTCTCTGTATTTGTGGCCATTTGTAAGACAGCAGATATGACCAGAGGTAAGTAAATCTTGGTTTAGGAACAGACAGAATTCCTCAACATCTTTTCCAGTTTCACGCTTCTGGAGCTACCACGTTTTGGAACTGGAAGAGACCCAGAGGTCACAGAATCAGCTCCTCTCATCAGAGGGAGAACACACTGGTGGCTGACAAGGCCACGTGTCCATTCCAGCACCCAGTCCATACACCCTGAGCGGGCCCAGGGCAGGTGCGACTCGGAGAACTGTTCTTTACTAATTCACACTGTAAGGAAACACAGTTTGAGTTTCCAGGTGTTCATTCATGTCTATATAAATGTCAGTTCATTAAATGGCTTTAAAATAGACCTTCTTCTGAGCTGGCTTTAACCAGCTGATGATCTGAAATCAGCTAATGTTAACAGAGTGTTTTAGAATAAACACAATTCATCTACCACTGTTAAAGAGAACTAATGTCTCATCAATAGAAAGTTTATTAAAACTTTGATTAATACAAACCCCAAACTTGAAACAGTTGATTAAAAATAAAGACTTCGGTTTATCTGTGTTTTCTAAATGTTAACATTTGAATATCATTTAGAAGTTTTTGGCTGGGTGTGGTGGCTCATGCCTGTAATCCCAGCACTTTGGGAGGCTGAGGCGGGTGGATCACTTGAGGTCAGGATTTTGAGACCAGCCTGGCCAACATGGTGAAACTCCATCTCTAATAAAAACATTAAAAAATTAGTTGGGCATGGTGGCAGGCACCTATAATCCCAGTTACTCAGGAGGCTGAGACAGGAGAATCGCTTGAACCTGGGAGGTTGAGGTTGCAGTGAGCAGAGATTGGACCGTTGTGCTCCAGACTGGGTGGCAGAGCGAGACTCTGTCTCAAAAAAAAAAAAAAAAAAAAATATATATATATATATATATATGAATTTAAAAACTTCTAAATATATATAATATATATCAAAAAGGAATTATATATATATTTAAAAAGGAACATAAGGCATTCCCACATTTAATACCTTTGTTCTTTTCTTATACTTAAAAATAACAATTTTAGATTGAAGAGGAAGGGAGGAATATGCTTATTTCCATACCCTTGTCTAAGATCATTCACTCTGTTCCATAAATCTTTGAGATTTCTACCACCACGACTTAAGAACTATGATTCATCCAGGTTTAAACCAGTAGCTAGTGACAAAAGTCAGAGGTAGCTGGAATCCAGATCTCACATTTCTCTTTTCGGCAATGTATTGCTTGCTTCATAATCTAACTGATGAAAATGGCCTCTCTTTGATTAAGAATAGCGTGCCCAGCAAATCATCTCAAGATGTGGATTTGGGGCATTACCACTTTATCTTCAAAAAGAAGACCACAAAGAAGGTTACAGAGGCTGCAGATTTATCTGATCATGCCTTGCTGTGTGGTCTTGCCTCATGAGGTGATGGAAGAGGACTAGAAAAGGAGTTACAAGTAGGCCTGTGGGGTGCAGGAAGGTGGTTCCTGGCAGCTGCAGATTGGTGCCACCCAACCAAACTCTCTGTGAAGGGACTGTGATCTGTGTAGCCATGGTCACAGAGGTTCCCGGGCCTTTGAGTGCTATGACTGAGAAACTGAGTTCTTCATTTATTTAATTTTAATATAACTTAAATTTAAATAGCCACGTGTGGGAGTGGCTCCCGAACTGGAACTCTGTCTAGATATCTGAGCTAGATGCTTTTAAAATGTAAATCGCTGTTCTTACAGGTTAGTGTGAATTTATCTAAATATTTGAGTGTCTACTGGGTGTTAGAAACTGGAGATATAAAGTAAATTTATCATGGTTCCTCCTCTGAGGGAACATGTACTCTGGTGGGACAGAGAAATAAGTGAATAATTACATGACAGGGTGTTAAGTGTTCCAGCGAAACAGAGGGATGAATGGGTTATGACAGAATCACAAAGAAGGGGTCCTGGCAGACTAGCGGTATCCGGGAGACTTCCTAAGACAAAGCGAGGCCGTGCTGACTCTGACAAGGACATGAGGGGAGATCGGAGACATGGCTAAGCACCACGCTGAGCACCGATGGGCTGTGCAGGAAGAGTCAACGGCTGCGTGTGGCTGAGGCATAAACCAGAGGCAGAGAAGGTGTGACATTAGGCCATAGGTGTCTGCAGGCGTGTGATCAGGGGATGCAAATTTTATTCTGTACGCGCCAGGGAGCCTTCCGAAGGTTTTAAGCAGGAGTTACAAAGAGCAGTGAGTGCAAGATGGAATTTGGGGAGCCAAGAAGAAAAGTCAGATAGACTGAAGAGACAGTGAGAGAGAGAGAGACCAACTGACATTGGTAATACAAATATTTCTTATTGTTATTAATATTTGAAAAACCTTTAGTAGCAAAATTATTATTGGTATTGCTTAGAATGAGGTGGAGACCAATGAGAGGAGAATTAAAGAATAATTCCTCAGATTCTACCTTGGGTGGAGCCAGCAACTAGGACAGCAAGCAGAAGATGAGAAACTAGGGGGTGTGTGTGCGTGCACGCACGTGTGTGTATGTGCATATGTGTAGCTAGGGTTTGTGTGAAGCTGGGGGGTGTGCGTAGCTAGGGTGTGTGTGTGCATGCACGCATGTGCAGCTAGGGGAGGTGTGTATGAAGCTAGGGTGTGTGTGTGTGCATGTGCGTGCGTAGCTAGGCTGTGGGTGTAAAGCTAGGATGCGTATGTATGTGAGTGTGTAGCTAGGGTGTGTGTGTGTACATGTGTAGCTAGGGTGTGTATGTGTGTGTGCGTGTGCATGCATATGTAGCTAGGGTGTGTGTGTGTGATTTGGCAAGTGGGTGAGGGAGAAGAGAGGGAAGAAGAGAATGTCATTTTACCTAAGTTGATTTTGAGGAAGGGGCAGTGGAAACCCAGCAGGCAATGATGTACACAATACTGATATTGCAGATGGGGGCTTGAGATGGGTGTGGGAAGCATTAGCATATAGGTGGATGTTGACATCAGGAAGGATATGAGATCTTTCCCCCTCCACAAAGGGCAGTAGGTGGAAGATGAAATCTGGAGAATACTATTAGAATTTTCTTTTTTGGAGTTTTATCTGTCGGTATTATGATCACAAAAAGAACAGTCCTAAGTATGAGTGTGTGGATTTTAGAGGGAGAAGAATCTATGCAAAATGTTTTTCTTTTTTTTTTTTGAGACGGAGTCTCGCGCTGTCACCCAGGCTGGAGTGCAGTGGCCGGATCTCAGCTCACTGCAAGCTCCGCCTCCCGGGTTCACGCCATTCTCCTGCCTCCGCCTCCCGAGTAGCTGGGACTACAGGCATCCGCGACCTCGGCCGGCTAGTTTTTTGTATTTTTTAGTAGAGACGGGGTTTCACCGTGTTAACCAGGATGGTCTCGATCTCCTGACCTCGTGATCCGCCCGTCTCGGCCTCCCAAAGTGCTGGGATTACAGGCTTGAGCCACCGCGCCCGGCCTCAAAATGTTTTTCTTAACTTTATTTTTTTGTTCCCCAAACAAACGGGAAGATATTAAGGTAATGTAAGTTGCAAAACTGTTGACTTGTTTTAACCCCACTTATAATTTAAGACTGTATATATGTGTGTGTGTGTGTATATATACATTTTTTTCTTTTTCTTTCTCTTTTTTCGTTTTTTGAGACAGAGTCTCACTCTGTTGCCCAGGTTGGAATGCAGTGGCGCAATCACAGCTCACCTCAGACTCGAACTCCCAGGCTCAGGGAATCCTTCTGCCTTAGCCTCCCAACTAGCTGGGACCAGAGGTATGCGCTACTGCACATGGCTAATTTTAAAATTTTTTATAGAGACAGGGTCTTGCTATGTTGCCCAGGCTGGTGTCAAACTCCTGGGCTCAGTGATACTCCTGCCTTGGCCTACCAAAGTGCTGGGATTATAGATGTGAGCCAACATGCCTGACAAAAATTTTAGTATTCTATAAATAATAGCCACTATATTGGTCTTTACTAATAACAGAAAGTAATCTACTATTTAATTTCCTGCAAATCAAATTAATTTTAATCCTAGCTTTATTGGTTGAAAAATGGGAAGAGATTAAGCAACAACGGAAGCCAGATAATCAGTAAACTGGGTCAGAGAGCATTAAGCACCCTCATCTTGGAGTCAAGCTGTGTGAACTGGGGCCTTACCTCAGACTCAGAGCTGTCCAGTTCGGCCAGAGTTGGGGCTTTGAGGAGCTTCTTCCGCTGTGCAGGCACCTGCTGTGCACTACTTAACCCGTTTTCTTTTGTTTGTGATGTCAAACCTCCATTCACCATAGATGACTCCATAAGATTCTTTGTAGATTCAGGGGTAGTTACATCTGGTAAAAAAGCAAAAGCTTACCTTTTCTTGAGCCAAGACAGGTTATCTGTGTTGAAAGCATACCAGGTAACACAGCATTTCACACAAAAACACAGAGGCTTGACTCAGTAACACCTTGCCTATGTATAGAAAACTTTTTCTGGTTGGATATTGACTGTCAAATTCAATTAAAGGAAACTTTAAAATGAATAATTACATATTCATACGTGTAGATGAGAATTTATAGAGTTAAAACTGATAACTGACTCCAACCTGTTTATTTTCCAGATGAAGAAACTGGGGCTGAGAGAAGCTACTTTACTTCACAGCCTCTAAGGATCTAGTGATATATGGATGAAGAAAGGACACACACAAAGCCTTACCAGACACATGGCTGTAAGATCTGAAAATGTTTTGGTTTAAGAATAAAAATGGCTAATAATCTATATTCATATAAACATATTTAATGTGAACACAAAAAGTCTGGGATACATTTCCTCTGATGTGTCTGATTTATATTACTAAGAGCTCAAATTTGGATGAGAAGGCAAAACGACAAATGACAGACAATGAAGCAGTCTACAGTGTGGTGTGATGGGGATGGTTTGGGTCTCTACTGCTATCTGCTCTCCTTTCGTCTGTAAAATGAGGATACTAACAGAGGCGGGCTTATTGTGAGCATTAAACAGGTTAATAATTGCATATAAAATTCTGTGCCTAGTACAGGCAGTGAACAATAAATGTTAGCAATTATTCCTACTGATTTTGATCTCTATTGGTGAATAAATAAACTAAGGCTCAGATGGATTCGGCCAGAGTGGCACCATGGTGTCATGCCACAGCTGATCTGTCAGTCTTTGTCAGTACTGACTCTGATGGCCTGCTTTTTGGTACCATAGCCTGGAATCCTTGAAGGCAAATGGAACTACTTTCAAATGAAGAGTTAAAAATGGGCTAAATTTAGTAACTATAAAATCAGTGTATTTAGAAGTGAAAAAGAGCAGTTACTGCATGATGCAATTTATAGACCAGCACACTCAACTGCTCTTTGCATGCGGACAGTCTGTGAGGCTGCCGTAAATGGGGCAAAGGGCATGTTAAGTACTAAAGTGAAAAAGACTGACTGATGCTCTTTTAGAGGGGAAAGCACTGTAAACGAGGTTACTGTAAACACAAGAATGTGGCCCGGCGTGGTGGCTCACGCCTGTAATCCCAGCACTTTGGGAGGCTGAGGCAGGGGGATCAATTGAGGTCAGGAGTTTGAGACCAGCCTGACCAACATGGTGAAAGCCCATCTCCACTAAAAATACAAAAATCAGCTGGGAGTGGTGGTGGACGCCTGTAATCCCAGCTACTCAAGAGGCTGAGGCAGGAGAATCAAAGCGAGACTGTGTCTCAAAAAAAAGAACAACCCCCCCCTCCAAGAATGTGCTGTTTATAGTAGGATATTTCCCCCCAAGCAAGTAATATTTACACACCTTAAGGATGAGAGGTAGAGCTCCAGGACACATGTGGTATACAAGTGTGTTCTAGTGCAGCTTTCCCTGACATTATTTATAAGAACCATGTAAATTATTTCTTATTACAAATGATATATATCCTATTTAATATTTATGATTTCTGCTTATTTTTGAAGGATTTGAACAAGCTAGAAATAATGGAAGGAAAAGAAAAAGAAAAAAGGGAAAGAGAAGGGAGGGAGAAAGGAAAGAAGGAAGAACAGCTGTCTATTAATTTTTACATAAAATTTTTAATTGAGAACTTGACAACACGTGCGTTTATTTTATTGTTACCTTCCCAGGCATTACATAGCTAGAACAAATAAAGAATTGGTGATGGTGGTGGGGAGTGCTGAAAGGGACAAAAGGAAAAAAGCAGCAAGGTTTTATACAAATTATAAATGTAAAAATCTTAAAATAAATATTTCAATAAGGAGATAAGAGAAATAGAATTGTTGATATTTTATAGGAATCTTCTAAAAGGAGATATAATGAGAAATAGAATTGTTGACATTTTGTAGGAATTTTCTAAGAGAAAGCACAAGTATTTCAAACGCACACACCTTCTACCTTTCCTAGCCACGTACTCACAGAGGCTCCCACCGTTGACCTGGCAGCAGGTCACTTTCTAATTATTACAACTGGAGTTATAATAAGAGAAACACAACCAGCTTTCCACGCTGGCCCCACATTTCCAATCAACAAAATCAGAGTTTCCCTAAGAATAGCACTGCATGCATACCATTGCACAGAGGAACACTCAAATAGTTTTGGCAGTTATTTATTTATTTACTTATTTATTTGAGACAGTCTTACTCTGTCACCAGGCTGGAGTGCAGTGGCGCGATCTCGGCTCACCGTAACTTCCGCCTCCTGGGTTCAAGCGATTCTCCTGCCTCGGCCTCCCAAGTAGCTGGGACTACAGGCACGTGCCACCACGCCCAGCTGTTTTGTATTTTTAGTAGAGTCAGGATTTCACCATGTTGGCCAGGATGGTCTCAATCTCCTGACCTCGTGATCCTCCCGCCTCAGCCTCCCAAAGTGCTGCGATTACAGGCGTGAGCCACCGCACGCAGCCCATATTTATTTTAATGTGCTGGGAAAAAAAATATTCTATTTTTTTGCTACAGAAAAGCATACTGTATTTTAAGATCCATGATTTTATTGCTTGAGAGATGTTTAAAGTTGTTTATGGCGCATTAAAAATTTTAATAGTACTGGTGACACTCAAGGCTGGCAGAAAATTATAAAGATGGTATATGAACTGAAGTTTAGGGAATGCTGTCAAATGACAGTGGCTGCCCTGAGTTCAGTCCATTCTCAATGCAGGGGATTTGAGAAATTGTCCAACAGCTCTCTAATTGCCTGAACCCTGTGCTATGAGATTGATAACTGTCATTTTAGCTAATTGACTGACAGTAGTGAAAGAAAACATCTGTATTAAATTCAAAGCTTTGAGAAAAACTGAATAAATAAAAAATGGGTTATGTAACAGCCAGGTTTCAAGATGATCTAAACACTGAATGATTTTATCTCACAACACAGATCTGCAAAAGACTTAATCGAACTTTTTTTTTTTTAGACATGGTCTCATTCTGTTGCCCAGGTTGGAGTACAGTGGTGCAATCATGGCTCACTGCAGCCTTGACCTCTTGGGCTCAGGCAATCCTCCCACCTCAGCCTCCCAAGTAGCTGGGACTACAGGTGTGCGCCACCACGCCTAGCTAATTTTTTAGTATTTTGTGTGTGTGTGTGTGTAGAGACAGGGTTTTGCCATATTGCCCAGGCTGGTCTTATTTTAAACTCCTGGGCTTAAGCAAACCTCCCACCTTACCCTCCCAAAGTGCTGGGATTATAGACGTGAGCCACTGTGCCCAGAAAATGTATTTTTAAGAAGCTTGATTACTTATATTTTTCTGTTTAAATGAATAAATTACCATTTTTACTTTAATGTATCACATGAGAAAAGCAAAACACTTGGATAGGCTTTGTATTTCTTATATATAAGATGGCATTTCTTAAAAAAAACTGGTGATATTTATATGTAAGCAAAATATTTAAGAGATGAAATATTTAGATATGGCTTTAGAAATCACACACCTTAGGTTTAGAACCTAAAATGCATACCCATGATATTAAATATATGTCTATTGCCTTATTTAGTGTGAGGAAATGTGACTGACATATAGATTATATACTTAATATCTGTATAGGAAAAACAAGTTATACTTACCATAAGTGATGTTGAATAAAGATTTTCACTAATAATTAATATTTCTAAGATATACTTAAGCAGTAGAATATACTTCATTATCTTGTACTTAAGTTCAGGGTTATCATCTACACTGTATGTTTACAATGTTTCTCACTAGTTTGTTCATTTTCTAACTCAGAAAATGCACTCCAATCTTTGCATTTAAGTTAGAAGAATGAATCAATCTTTTCTATTTATAATTCGGGCAATTTTAATTAATAGTTAAAATGCAACAATGAAAAACATAAAAGCAGCACAAGAAATCAAGAATGAAGCATTAGGAAGTCACAAAGTACACGAAGACATGAAATAAATTACAGCAAATGATAAGCAGTGAAACCAAATAAAAATTCTCTGCTACCCTTTTACACTAAGAAATTTAAGTACCAAGAGTTTTCTTTCCAAACAGAACCCATCGTATAGGCTGCAAGAACATAGAACACACAACATACCTGTACATGAGGTGTGTGAGCATGCATGGAGCATACTGTCAAAATCAGCAATGTGTGCCTAATTTAGATTAGCCAATGGCCAATGTGTTTAGGCAGCCAACCACTCCCTTCCTTATTGTGGTCCAACTAATAGAAGCATCTTTTGTAGATATTCAAAAAAGATAGAGTGTCTGTAATGTATATTGCCAACTTCTGGGGATTAGTATTGACATATGCATTACTATTTTTCTGCATTTATTTTCCAGATCAAATTTTTTACAAGGTCACTTTGCAAATGGCTGAAAAAATAAAAATTCCAAGTGAATAAAGAAAAAAGGAAAAGCTCTTCTGTGGTCAGCCAAAAATAGTAACTGAGTGATTGTAAAATATTATAGCCACGTCTGATACCTACACAAATAAGCAGAAGATTTAAAAACAGTTGGAAACTAGCTTTGTAGCTGGAAGATACTCAATAAATATTCATATACAGAATATACTAGAACTCTTTAAACATGAATTTGTAAGTAAGGTATGCCAACAATTCTTTGTATCTTGAGGCATTCCACGGCATTTAACAGAAAATCCTGAAAGAAAATATTTGTGCCAACATCTCATCTCATTTTATACTTAAAACAGTAGCTTCCAAAATTAAAAACTCTAACTTGCAAAATATTTTACTGGGATTAAGTTGGCTTTGAAAATTCAACTGGCTGGGTGAGGTGGCTTACGCCTGTATTCCTAGCACTTTGGGAGGCCAGTTGGTGAACTGCTTAAGCCCAGGAGTTCGAGAGCAGCCTGGGCAACATGGTGAAACCCTGTCTCTATTTCCTAAAATAAATAAATAAATAAAAGAAAATTCACTCATATATATTTAAAGTTTTAATTTAAAAAGGGTTGATTTTATAGACCAAATTTAGTCATTTCACTATTAATCTCTGTTTAACAGAAAGGTCTAAACTTGCACTACAAATCTGAGGCACGTAAGTATATATTACAACCAAAGCCATTACAATGCTCTTGTATTTTTACACTGTTTTATTTTTTTTTGGAGACTGAGTCTCACTCTGTTGCCCAGGCTGGAGTTCAGTGGTACAATCTTGGCTCACTGCAACCTCCGCTTCCCAGCTTCAAGCAATTCTCCTGCCTCAGCCTCCCAAGTAGCTGGGACTACAGGCGCATGCCACCACGCCCGGCTAATTTTTTTGTATTTTTAGTTGAGACGGGGTTTTACCATGTTAGCCAGGATGGTCTCGATCTCCTGACCTCATGATCTGCCCACCTCGGCCTCCCAAAGTGCTGGGATTACAGGTGTGAGCCACCGCGCCTGGCCTGTATTTTTATACTCGTAATCATGATTCAAAGTCATTTGTGATTAGGCTTTATCCACTGAGCACAAACATACAAAAGACAGTTCTTGCCCATCAACTGAGGTGCTGTCATCTGAAGTAGATAACCATTTTAAGTTTAGTTACTTAAATAACTGAATGCTTTAGAGAACAGGAAGTAGATGCATCAGAATTTTGTTTCTACAAAGTTTTTTTCTATTCTCTTAGGGCAAAGGTCTGCTGTAGGC